TTTTTTGTTGTACTCGCCGTGAAGTGGTTTTGCGGCCTGCCAGTAAACCCAGAGAAGAAGAAGACGAAGTGACGTCAGCGTAATCTTGCCTCAGGGAAAGTCCTGCGGTGTGAATGCGGCTATGGCACTAGCCCCCTGGCGGATTCAGTGCCGTGGTACTTTAGTGCCGGCACTAAAGTACCGCAAGTCCTGCGGTGTGAAAGCGGCTATTAATGTACTGAGGAAAGTGCTGACTGAACACTATATTTGGTGAAAAGCAAAAGTGTCATGAATTCTAAAGGGGACAAAATGCAAAAGCCTAATGCCAAGTGTACTAAAAAGTACTTTCTTCAGGAAATAAGCAGATTTTTCCAAGTCTCAAGTTTGATCTTTGCAATCAAGGACGTGGTGGATCAATAGTAGGCAACCATCAGGGATCAACAAACCTTCTGCATCACTGCATGGCAAATTAGTAAAGATCAATCCAAAAGTCAATGTGTAATTGACTGTCTAACTTTTTCCAGTACATTTTACACCGCTCTGTTTCTCTGTCTACCTGGATCTATAATATCCCAGGGTTCATGAAACATTTAGCCACATGACTTAAAGAGTGGGAATGCTCAAAGAGAATGGACACCGAAACCTTCAATCCCGTATAGACAAAAGTACATTATGACTCACACCTAATGGTGAAAGATCCTACATTGTACAAGATGCTTTACTGGTGTGTTGTTACATTTGCCTTATCAATAATGAAACAGAATCCACACAATATGTGCCAGTAGTAGTTAACACTAGAACCGCCAGGGGTCGCTGTATACCTAAAACCCCCAACGGGTAAAATGTACCCGCCATTAGAATGCATTGATTTTCAAGGTACAATGTTCTTTTAATTAACAAACTAGAATACAGGGTTAAGAGTGAGTTTTACCACATACATATACCAATATAATCTGTGGACTCTCAGCTTTCATATGATATCTAGTTTGTGCAGTAGTATAAAAGATTGCTACCGTGAGTTATGTGCAAAATGTCTCTATCTCTATAACTATCTATTGATCTATCTATCTCTCTATAAGGAACCGCAGTAAACAACAGGTGTTGTGCGAGATCAATAGCGCGAAAATCACTGCATTTTACACAAGGTAAATATTACCCGCTGGCGCTGATGGGTATAAGTGGCATTTATTGGGCAATTTTTTCAATCTGACTTCATATTGACCATTTTTTACATAACACACTTGAATATTTTATTGAAAAAAAAGTTACATACAATCAAGAAACGGCTGCGGGTAAAATGTACCCATTGGTGGTTCTAGTGTTAAAGCTCCACTGTTATCATAGACTGAAACGTGACTCCAGTCATGTGGCTTTGTTTAACAACTATGGGAACTCAAGCCACGCTGGCCCTCCTCAATCCCTGGCCTTCTCTGTGTGACTACTGCTGGAAGCATATCAACCTTGTCAGCCAGCGCGGAAACACAACTCTTTCTCTCTCCGTTTCGTGTTCCAACGACACGCAAAGATAGGCACAGACACAGGGCTTTTTGGGCCTACTGGCCTGTCTCTGGGAAGCCACATTGCAGAAATATAAAGCATCATAACCAGGAGACAATCTCCCTGTTCTTTGGGAGAAATGACCTGAATACTCGGTCTTTGGTCATGAATACAAATATCCGACCACCTGGCCTGTGTGGTAATGGTCACAGAGAGCAGGTAATGGAGCGCACTTTTATGTTGATTGAGGATAAAATTTAGTGTGACTATCAGTTGTCCTACTGAGGCGTTAAAGAGATGAGCAAGTGTGCACATGGTCTCTTAGACTCTCAGATATTGCATTTGTAATTGTTTTTTTGTAGATAGTATAGTACAGTACAGTTGGGCTGGGCAAGGCTAGCTTGTGAACAACCCCTGAATACTTGTGCTTAGTGAGCATAACAGCAACATGTGAGGCATGAAGGTTTCTTCTTAAATTCCTCATGGAAGTAAGACATGGACTTTCAGAGCTCTGTGAGATTACATATTCAGTTTAAATGGATACAAAAATCTAGTAATGAGAGGATGTTATACAAATGTAAAATGTAATCTTAAACACATGAAAACAAGGGTAAATGTACAGTATTGCATTGTGTTGGTACTGAGTCTCCTATAAATAAAATGTAATTATCACCAATATTAAAGCTTATGAACTGGGATTGCAGGAAGCAAGGATTTGATAAAGAAAATATTTTTGTGAAAAAATCTATCCATAGCAATATTTGAAAACCAAACACATAGCTGTAAAAAACAAAAAACACTAAATTAAAGGAAAATCGAGCCAAAGAGCCTGGTATTGTAATGTAATCAAACATTAGGAGAGTTTCCATACATCACAATGATGACCTTTAACAAGCAATAACCATCCCAGAGTGTAGGGAGGAATAACCGATGCAAAGCTAACATTGTACCTGAATTCATTTACATAAATATTTCTGCTGGTACTTGGCCAAACAGACAAGATGAACAGCTTAAATATCATTTCAGGCTGCACACCACAATACCATAAACGCGCCCTGTTGGTTACTGTATTGCAACATTCCATTGTCAGTGGGTAGTGTATGAATATCATGTTGCATATTTATCACTTGCAGCTTAGAGTGAGTGCAAGGCTATAGAAGTCCAGTCCAGCTCAAATCAAAGTCTAAGTCATCTTCTGAATGGGGGTATAGAGAGTGGCCTTCACTGGGTCTGATCTCATAGGACATGCTGTACTGGAACACAGGTTTTGAGCACCTATCATTTGTTTTGAGACATGTACAAAAACTAACAAATTATAAATCTAATAATAAAGATGAAGTTTTAAAAAGGGAAACTAAGAGTGCCCATGCTGTGAAAAACGTTATTCTTTTTTAAGGTGTCCATCTTACCCAGATATTTTTGGCAAGTTTACAAAATGTAGTACAACATTTTACTCTCTTTTTAGTCTTACAATTTGCTTTGGCCAGCTGATGCATGATCCTGTATACTATACGCCTCGTTAAGGATGTGAAGTAGAAGCAAGGAAAAAAAACGAAATATTGGTATCAGTATTAAAGCCATACAGTAGTAGACATTATGTGTCTGATCTGCAAGGCTTACTTTCATTGACAGGCTTAATAACACCAATGTTGGACTGCAAACTGTCCATTGTTCAGAGCATGCAAACCAATGTTAACTGTGCTGTGACTTTTTAACATGACATTTTAGCATTTGTTGACCATTTAGAAACGGAGTTATTGCATGGTGAAGATAACTGCCAATGTAATTGAAGAAAACAAACTGCAATAATAGTATAGGAGAACATTTCTGGCATCAATCACGTGTACATGCTCCAATAGAGCAAAGGAAGGTAGGTTTTGGCAGTCAACACAAAAGCTCGGTTCCACACCTAATATAATGATATTTACACTTCACTTGCACTGACAAAAAATGTTTTCACATGCACATGGTTTCCATGTGGAAGACAGAACACACTTACCAGATGTGTGCTACTTGTGTTCAATAATAAGTGTTAAAATGATATGATGAACAAATGAAAACAATTCAACAGTCTTGGATTTGTTTACATAGTGAACAGGCATTTTCAGGCATATCCTAAAACTAAAATTGCAGCAAAAGTCTTTTTTCCAATCATAACTTGTCACAGCAGAAACAGCACAGGTGTTACTAATAACATTCACAATGGTTCTGTCTATTTGAGTGTCTCGGTAAGCCATGGAAGTATGACAGGGAGCTTCAAGCATGCACAATGTCAGGACCATAAAACCAAACTAGGTAGGCTACAGAAAGTTCAGCCATCAATATTCGCATTGCTTAAACCTGTGCCTTCCCTACAGTGACATGTCAAAACCTCTATATAGTACCAGGAGCATCTAAGAACTGTTTCAGCTATATACCAATCCAATGCACCTGCAGTAATAATGGAGCTCATTAAGAAGTACTCAATATGTGACATAAGTTAACCATTTTGACAGGAAAGTGTTATCACTAAATGCTTTGACTTCTCTCCATAAAAGTCCTCATGTGAGACAATACAAGTTGAACACACATCGAAGGCATATTATCTAATTGATAAAGCAGCTCTTTATGTGTAAATAAACTATTGGGCTGTATGTGTTCATCAGGCTTACATCTAAAATTGGTATCAATATGCTACAATTAGCAGTTGTAACCTACTTCACACATGTTGAGCCTTATCTACACATAGGCTATTTGAAAGTAGTTATTTTAAGAGGAAAGGACAGCATTTTCTCTATTACCATACAAATAGTTTCTTACTTCATTATCATAATTACACATACTTCGAGGCTGTTACCTCGGAATCACTGATTATCACACGTGTTTCTCATTCAATTAATTATTCACTGCAGCTCATCAATGAAATGGATTGTTAGCTTTTCAGCACACTGAAATATCTAGAGGATATTGACTGATTGGAATACCAGCTCCAAACTAAAGCTGTATGGTTAAAAAGTGCAGACTGGAAGTCCTTTGTATTAAGTGTCCTCCACCGGGCACCAGCTGCCATGGCGGGGCTGGACAGATTGACTTGTCAACACTGTCCTGTCAACAACCCCTCGGTCATAACCTAACCCAGAGGAGCCTATAACCCCATCTCAGTAAAACATACAGTACAAGGATATACTCATGGAGGGTGTCAGTAGCAAAACTATTCTCACTCAGAAGAAGTGAAGGGGACATGCTCCCATTCGTCATGCACGGAAAAACTTTAAAACTGCTCACACGGCTGCTGCAACTCCCAATTCCCAGACAAAACCCGTTCAGTCGATACAAATGAAGGTCGGCTAACTTTTGCTCTTATAAGTTGCTTCAATACGTTTTTGCATATGCTTCTACTCGTAGAAATAAAGAAAACCGAAGCGTGTAACAGTTTCAGAGAACACTTCAAAAGATTTTACATTGCCCCCCTTCGTGTAACCCACCAGTAAGCGTGACGGCGCTGTGACAACAACATTAGTTTCCGTGTGCTTCTAAACACTTACCAACAGTTCTTGAGCCTGACCCCGAACCCAGCAGAAGGTACCAGATCCACATCATACGGTCTCCGTTTCCCCCTGCCCCGCCGCGGGGCCGAAAACTGTGGGCAAAGAAAAAAAAACTTATCCGACACAGCTCCACTACTGCCTATTGTAGCTCACTTATAAGTCGGACTCGTTTTCCCCATCCGACAAAACAACGGTACATTTGGCGTGAGAGTAGTGGGTTCGCATTGGGACAAAAGTATGGAGTCCGGTTTTTGGAGTGGGAAGGTCTACAGGCTTTAGCTGGAGGGGCTTCGGGGTGGCGGCAGGCAGGCTGGGGAGTCGGTCGCTCGTGTGTTGGTGCTGAGGGAGGAGGAGTCGGAGGCAGAGAGGCGCAGAGCAGAGGTCGGTCCACTCCGGGGCAACGGTTCCCAATATGCGGGCTAGGAACCTCTAAGGGTCCCCTCTGGCAAAACCATGTTTGACTGCACCGTTACTCCGAAGCGAAGGTAGCCAAAATGTTATTTCACCTACGGATATTCACCACCTACGGATATTCACCACAGACGATACAGTCAACTGCATTGAAAAAATGTCCTCTGAAAATGCTGGAAAAATGCTGAAAACATAACATAAGAAATAGGGTTGTTCCAAACACTGGCTAACTGTTTTTGGCACCAACACCAACATGATTGGATATACATCATGTACACTTTTTTAAACACTAGTAGAAATAATTAAAACCGCCCTCTCTTCTGTTTACTCGGCCTATGTATTCACAAAGTTGTATGTTCTTAGTGAAAACAGGATGGGGCAAAGCAGCACTGTCATTTTAATTTTAAATAGCTTTATCTCCTTTCAATCCCCCGCCTGGATACATAGTTAGTATTTACATATTACAGAAACAGTTATGGTCCACCAGGATGTGGCACAACAAACAACATCAGAAACCAGGCCGGTATTGCTGACAAGTTTTCAGCAGGGATCAAAAGTATTTTTGAAACTGTACAAAACTAGATATTAAGTCAACAGATGGCACAGGGGAAAAGTATTTGGAGTATTTTTTTGTTTTGAGATTGTTTGCCTTGATGAAACGTTAAAATTGTAGAAATCAAAGCAAGAAAGATGTCCTGGTGTTGGCACAGAAAGACACTTCTCCTCTCCGATTGTATTTCTGCTGTACCTATTCAAAACTCGAGCTCTAGTAACGTCCACACAGTGGAATATTTAAAAATCAAGATAGAGAACTGTCAATACACAGCCTGCACACACACTAACAGAGCTACAAGGCATTATTGCTATTTTCATGGCAATTTCAGTTGAATTGAATTAGAGAGAGGGATGGAGGGACAGGAGGCTTCACCTCAAACCTCTCTCGTCTTTATCATAGAGCCGCAGCTGTGTGCAGACCAACAACCTCACTTCAAACAAACCCCTCCTTTTGATAGCATGCTAACCTGGAGGCATATGATTGGAATGAGTCCCAATATCAGACTCCTCCAGCTCACTTTATATTCATCCACACACTGCCTTATCAAACCAAAGCCTTGTGCAGACTCAAACTCCAGGATGGGGTCCTGGCATGTCAATCGGATCGGTTCAAACTTTGTTTAAGATGTCAGCTTGATAGCTTCTGCAACGGCCTGTTGTCCTCATATTCCCCTATTGTTGCCTATAGGACCTTATGTATATCAATCTGTTATGATGAGCCCTGATATTCAATGGTTGTGCTTGTGCACTGTGTTAACATCTACAGTTGGCAGATATTCATATTTTAATGAGCTAACCAAAGCACGAGACTCCTCGACGCATTCCTGAATACAATCAACACTAATAAAACTAAATGCTTGTTGAGAATGGATTACATTTTGCTCCCCTGGAGTTATCATTAATGTTAATGCCGAGCTGTTTCACAAATTATACAGCCTGATCCATGAACCAGAACGATATAATCTGTTTTTGGGGCGCTCTGGCCTGCAAGCAAGAAGCAGAAACTGGCTCAACTGTATTACTGATTGACACACAGTGTTTCAGTAATGCCCATCAATTAGTTTAGGCTATCTATAAACAGCTCAGACCTAATTAGCCGCAGGCCAACAAATGGACTCATTAGGGGACATTAAAGCCTAATATGAAGGTTGTTATTGACTTAATCGCAGGAGAAACCCAATTAGTGACCACATTTGGAAAATGACTCTGAGGTAGGGAAATTATCAGATTGCCGAAGAGGGGAGGAGGGGGTGCGTAGCAGCCTGGGATGACTTTGCCTGTGGGTGAGTGGTTGCATTGAGAAGGAGAAAGATTCAGTCAGAGATGTAGCAGGAAGTAAGGCAATGTGTATCAGGAGAAACACAAAGGAAGTTTATGTGAGTGTGTGTTTGTGTGGGTGTTGAGAGAGAAAACAACACTTACAGCGCAGCAGGGAAGCAGAATGAGTAAGGTAGCCAGCGGCAAGAAAATCAGTAGATGGATGAGGAAAGCGAGAGATGAAGAAGATGTGAGAATAAAGCAAATATTATAGCAAAAAAAAATAGCAAAAATCAGTCATTAGCCCGCATGGTTTTTCATACCACTGCTACGCTGACGACACCCAATTAATTTTGTCCTTTCCCCGCTCAGAGACCCAGGTCGTCGCACGCATCTCTGCTTGTCTAGCTGACATCTCTCAGTGGATGTCTGCTCATCACCTCAAGCTCAACCTTGACAAGACTGAGCTGCTCTTCCTTCCGGGAAAAGATTGTCCCACTCTTGACCTAACAATCAACATCGGCACCTCAGTTGTTTCCCCGACTCAGACTGCAAGGAATCTGGGTGTGACCCTAGATAAAAACCTGTCCTTCACTGCAAACATCGCTGCTACAACCCGTTGCTGCAGATACACGCTTTACAACATCAGGAAGATACGTCCCCAGCTGACACAGAAAGCGACGCAGGTTCTGGTCCAGGCTCTCGTCATCTCACGCCTAGACTACTGCAACTCCCTCCTGGCTGGTCTACCTGCATGTGCCATCCAACCTCTGCAGCTCACCCAGAATGCAGCGGCTCGTCTGGTCTTCAACCTTCCTAAATTTTCCCACACCACTCCGCTCCTCCGCTCCCTTCACTGGCTTCCGGTAACTGCTAGAATCCACTTCAAGACACTGGTACTTGCTTACCATGCTGCGAATGGATCTGGCCCTTCGTACATCCAGGACATGGTTAAACCGTACACCCCAGCGCGTGCACTACGCTCTGCATCAGCCAAACAACTCGCTGCACCCTCGCTGCGAGGGGGACCCAAGTTCCCATCAGCAAAAACACGTGGGTTTGCTATCCTGGCTCCAAGATGGTGGAATGAGCTCCCCATTGACATCAGGACAGCAGATAGCTTGCACATCTTCTGGGGCAAACTGAAAACTCATCTCTTTCGACTCCACTTCGAGCGATAGATTTATTAACAAAGCACTTATATACTAATAAAGTACTGGCTTATCTAAAGCCAGTTGAGTAGCACTTGAAATGTTTGGCTCTATGAAACCTGATGTACTTATATGATTCTGTTTTCTTCAAGGTTGTGTCTTCCTGGTCGAAGGTATTTATTGTATGTCGCTTTGGATAAAAGCGTCAGCTAAATGCAATGTAATGTAATGTAAAATAGAATCAGGGGAGATATTGTCATAGAAAGAGATCACATAAGAGAGGAGAAATGAATTTAAATAGATTTTTATGTTAAAGAGTATTACATGCAAGCTGTAGGATATTACCGAGCTGAATCCACAGTTGGCAAGAGATTGGCTCTCTCATTTGAGGCTGAGAGAGCGATAATGCAAGTCATGACAGCTTCAGTATGAAAAGTCCTTGTCATGTCAGAGTGCCATCGAGGTAGCTGCAAAATGCCAAGGCCCCTAAAGGATGGGCTCACTCTCTGGTGTGGGTCTCTTGACATTTATCTTATATTTATTAACCTGCGTATCAATGTGAAGGACATCTTTGTGAGTGAGTGTGTGAGTCAGAAAGCAATAAAGAAGAGAAAAACAGGAAGGAGGAACCATGTGCTGATGGTTCCAATAAATGTTAGGGAAAAAGTTTAAGAAAAAACTTGACTTTGAGAATATTCAAACTGGGTACTACGACCAATTATATCAAAACGCATGCACTAACACTCATATTTTTACAGTGTTGCAGAGTTATGCTCACAACGACTCTCATTCATGCTTCTCCTAATGCATTAATTGAATAATCATTCAACTATGTGACCAATGCCTTTTTCCAATGCCATTAGTTAGCAGGGGCTGGCGCTGCAGGGACATCAGATAGGCATCAACAATTGAGTCAGTGAGATAAGGGTAGGTTGTGTGTGTGTGTGTGTGTGTGTGTGTGTGTGTGTGTGGTGTGTGTGTGTGTGTGTGTGTGTGTGTGTGTGTGTGTGTGTGTGTGTGTGTGTGTGTGTGTGTGTGTGTGTGTGTGTGTGCGTGCGTGCGTGCGTGCGTGCGTGCGTGCGTGCGGGCGGGCGTGCGTGCGCGCGCGCGTGCGTGCACTGCTGTCAATCTATAAGACCCAGGCTGAGAATCAATGAGAAACAGATATTGATTTGGGATTTCACAGGCAGGGGCCAATACATTTGAGGGAGAAACGCCTGGAGCATCAACAATTACTTTCTTAATTAAGCTTGACTAACTGATGTACGGATTGAAATGGGTTACCCAGCAAATTGCAAAACACAAGGGTGATAATAAGTACGACAAATATATTAATAGCATAACATTATTGAAGTGGAAAAACATGGGCATGTGACTATCAAAGAATAAGATCAATCCCTGGGCTATTTGAGTAAATACAAACAGATGGCCTGTTGTATGGTATTTTATTGAAACACACAGTAAAGGTTTTAATGGACGCTCATTAAACTAAAAGGATAGAAATGGTTATTTATAGATTAAATGATTTACATTTAGCAGTAAAACATATACAGAAAACATCACAGCCATTTAACTTGTTTTTGACTGCTAAAGATTAGCCCAGACATGAAGTTGGAAGAGGCTAGATTAACTCTCTGTGGTGAACCGGCACTCAAGACAACATTAGTTCATTATCAGAACTGGTATTCATACAACACACAGTGGAAACCTTTAATAACTGCTTCAAACAAGGTCAAGTTCAGCTG